CCATCTCCAGGTTTTAACTTTTGCTTCTATTTCTGAATGCCACGCTTCAGTTACGGTTGTTGTGTCACAGGCCGACTTCGTGGTCACTGTTTTCCAGACCCTGGTGTTTGTTAATGCATACAGTCAACTTGTACTTTCATTCCTCTGCGTTATTTCAAAGCCCCACTCCTTGCTTATTTACAGTTGCACACGTTAACAGTAGTGACAGTGCTATCCAGTATAGATCACATCCTTGCATGATTGATTGTCACCAGGCTAATAAGTACTGAAGTGTAATTCTAAATTCACAAGCACAATCTAGAAATACTGTAATTGTTTGATTTCTGGGATCCACCTTTCTCCCAGAAATCTGAAAATTCCATTGATTCTTTCCTGAAAAATTTAAGTTAAGCCTTCTGTCTGCTTTTAGAAGTTCTTATTATGATTATCCTCATTTGACAGCTGAGAAAATATCAGCATGAAAATAACAGCTTTCTTTATACCTTAGTGTATGATTTACCTCTGCACACAGTTATTTTAAGAAGGTTTAGATGTACTCAGTTGGTTAAGAGCTCGCTCAAGAGTTTGAGCTCTGAGCAACAGCGGTTCGAGTCCAGCCCGAGCTGAGCAGCCACTGAGCTGCCAATAGGTAGCAGGATGGCTCAGCTAAAAAAAAAGAAGGTTTAGATGTATCTGAATGGTCACAGAGAATTTTGGATGGACTTTGAACCTGACCTGTTTAAAGGAGCTGTCCCAGATGATTGAGTCTAAGCCTGTTCAGTTGACCTTGAGTGAGGACTGTCTCTTCTTATCTGTGTCTGTCACAGGGATGCTCACCAAGGGACAAAGGCAGGATGGCTCAGGGCCATATTTCCACCATTTGTGGCCAGGCCACTCAGAAATGCTGCCCTGTGGATATGAGGCGAGCCATTTCACCTCTGTCCTGTGACAGTGGCATTCAGGCAAAAGGTGTTTCTCTGCCACCTCCAAGACAGAGTGAATGAGTGAAGTGCCTAGGCCCTTGACCTTGGCCTCAGGCAGGCACACCTGCTCTACCTATCACCCATGTGCAGTAGCCGTTCCTGCTCCACAGTTCCTGTGGACTTCATAACCAAGCCGTGGTGCTCACACAGACTGCATCAGCCCAAGTATAAAGTGCTAGAGAAATGTGGCACTACGTGGTCACATCAAGGATACACACATCCTATGATGAGGTTTCTGTGGTCAGTGGATACCCTTTCCTGTACCAACCAGGAATGATGTTGCAAACAGTATTTTCTGGAAGTGAGAATGGGGGAAGGTTTGCTGGCAGGGCCATTTCTTACAGTTGCAGATTGTTCCCTGAGCAAGGTTCCAATTGAGAGAGTGAGTAGGGACCGGAACCCAACTTGAGATCCACCTTGTCAAGCCTTGTGCTTTACTGTGGAGCTGTATCCTCCAGGAGGAAGGAGGTGCCTTTCTAAGGTACATAAAAACACCATATGGACAAGAAGTTGTCTAAAGAGATTGCGACATGGGTCCCAAATGGGTTGCACATGAGGCTGCTCATGGCAGCATTGTTTTGGGGGTTGGGAAGCTGGGGGCACTGAGTATCCATTCCTGGGAGTGGTGAGGCCAAAGGTGGTGGGTCACAGGGTGGGCCTCTGCAGCCATCAGCGGTCAGGGACCGGATGTGCAGATAATAATGTGCATAGGCCTTAAAAAGTGTGGAGTGGAAAAAGTATGACACAGAACAAGATCTGTAACAGTCCAATTAGTAAATGAAAGTACTTGCAAATGAGACAACAGTGCACACTCCACATGAACACATACAAGCCAAAAAGTATAATTAAATATATTAGAATGGTTGTTTGTGCAGGGATGGGGGGAGAAAGGACAGGAGTGAGGAGTGAGAATAGGAGGAAATACATGGGCACATACATATAATAAAACTAAAGAACTGCTTGCACTTATGGACCACTTATGTGCCATGAACTGAAAAGTGTGATTAATTTAACACTAAGTTAAAATCCTGGTTCTTAAAATCCTTGGAAATTACCTTGCCTTATCCATATAATTTTATTTTCCTGATAGCCATAAAGAAATGAAAGCATTTACTTCCATGGGGATTTATTCAAACTCTCAATGCTATAATAATGAAGAATAGGGACTGTGAAGAAGAAAAGAAAACTCTTAATTCTGTTTGGACTAGTTTCAAATAAATCCTGCATCCAGCCAAGGCTGGCAGTAGATGGGTCAGACTGGGCCCTCGGTCATTGGGACACAGTGTCTTGGCTTCTTTAAAGATAAGTCTAGAACATTTTAGACCAAATGCAATAAAAAAGTACCTGGTGCTAAAAGCTTGCGCCATTTAAAAAATATATTTGCATAAACCCAGCACCATTTTTGAGATATTTCTTGGCCAGTAGTGTGTGCAGCTTAAGCCAAAGAACACGTAGTAGTCTCCAAAGTAGCATGTGTTCAATAGGTACCCAATAATGTAAGTTGTTATAGATTGAATGACCTCTTACCATCCAGTTGGGAACACCTCTTCCCCATATGGTGTCTGTGTGTGTTAGAAAAGGTGCCTCTTCCTGGCAGTGCAGCCCCACAGTCAGGCACAGGTGTGGCAGGGAAAGCTGGGTTTCAGTGCTACTTACCCCTGGGTTGTTTGGGGCACAACTGCACAACTGTAGGACATGGCCCTGCAGAAGAATAAACTTCCCCCTTTCTCTCTTGCACTAGGTTTCCATTGTTTGCAATCTCTTTCCTGGTTGGTGTAGGAAAGGCAGACTTGATCCTCCTGTCACCAAGTGGAGCAACACTACCTCCCATCCCACATGCTCTTCTGGAAACTAGCCCCTGCCCCTGTAAAGATGGAGTCTGATTCCATTCTCCTTGAATCTAGGTGAGCTTGTGACTCGCTTGCAACCCACAGAACACATCCAAAGCGACACTGTAATTTCTGAGGTTAGGTCACAAAAAGTGATATAGCATTCACCTTGCTGGCTGGAACACTTGCACTTGGAGCCTTCAGCTGCCATGTAAGAAATCTGACTATCCTGAGACTGTCCTGTTGTGAGGAAGCCGTGCCACACATGGAGAGGCCATTGGTAGGTGCTCTGGTCAGCGGTCCTAGTTTCTGAGCGCTCCACATTCAGACACCCAGACATGTGAGTAAACAAGCCCTCGATACTTCGAGCTCTCAGTTGTGAAGTCATCACCAGACTCTGAACCTCCCCAGCTAAGGCCCCAGACAGCTTGGAGCAAAGAGAAGCCATCTCGCCACTGTGCCCTTTCGGAATTCCTGACACACACAATGCATGAGCACAACAAACTGTGGTTGTTGTATGCTACTAAGTTTGGGGTGGTTTGTTACACAGCAGTAGTCACTTAAAGAGCCATTACCTTCAGCAACATCAAAAAGTAGAGTAATAAAAAAAGGAGGGGAGGGCTGGCCGAGTGTCTCAGTTGGTTAAGAGCTCGCTCAAGAGTGCGAGCTCTGAGCAACAGCGGTTCGAGTCCCGGCCCGAGCTGAGCTGCCGCTGAGCTGCCAACAGGTGGCAGTATGGCTCAACTAAAAAATAATAATAATTAAAAGGGAGGGGAAACTTATAAATGTCTAAAAATTTAATTATAAACTAAAAGAGACAGAAGAGAGAAATCAGCAACTACAAATGACATTGTTTGGCTTCTGATTAGAATAAACCATTACAGAAAGACAGGAAAGTCAGCTCAACTTAACTTCTTCTGTTTGGATACTAGATGATATTAAGGAATTCTTTTTAATTTTTAAGATGTGATACAGTGGTTATTGGAAAGAGTCCTTATGTGTTATAGAGACATACAGAAGTGTTTAAATACGGAAATATCTGTGATTTGCTTTTAAATTGGTTTTAATATAGAGATGAGGGAAGGATGGGGTGCAGATAAAACCAATTGCCATATGTGGAGAATTTTTAAAGCCAGGCGACCAGTACATGGAGGTTTATTATATCTCTACTGTTGTGCATATTTAAAACATCCCATAAGAAAAAGTTTGACACCAGAGAAAGTGGGGGTTCTTACTTGTCCTGTGTCCCAGTCTTCCAGGCCATGATCATGTGTTTACAGGTGCCAATAGTTTGAATAGATTGCTCCTCTTATAAACATGACTTCTATGTGTACTTCTGGAGGCTTCTTCTTCTTCTTTAAAATACATACATTTTTTAACTTTATTGGGGGAACAGTGTGTTTTTCCCAGGACCCATCATCTCTAAGTCAAGTTATTGCCCTTCAATCTTAGTTGTGGAGGGCACAGCTGAGCTCCAAGTCCAGGAGCCATTTTCAATCTAGTTGCGGGGGAGGGGGTGCAGCCCACCATCCCATGTGGGAGTCGAACCAACAACCTTGTTGCTAAGAGCACGCGCTCTAACCAACTGAGCCACCCGGCCACCCTCCTGGAGGCTTCTTGAGACCCAGGACCTTATATTAATGTGGGGATTTCCAGCAGAGAAATCGACTAGCAGAGGAAAGTATATTCTTGGGCAAATGTTTTAGGCACTCCTCAAATCAGTTTAATGTTTGGTGGCTAGAATTCCCCTTGAAGACACAATCCCTTCACAATCCCTTGTCCAGCACTAAGGTACACCCAGGGGCATCCATGAAGTCCCGGCGAATTGATTCGAATTAAGAAGCCTGGTTGTTCAGAATTAATTCATCGGCTTACTCTGAAGGTTAGATAGTGTTCAATTTTGAACCTTGAAATGTATCCATCAGCAGAAAGGCGAATGGGCTGCTTGTTGCTATGCAGACAACGTCTTTTGGAAGGTCCTTCTGTTTGCCTGTGGATTCTCGCCCTTGAAGAAAAACTGTTAACTCGTGCTGCAGCCTGCTGCTCTCTGCTTGGTTTTGGCTATGTCACTAAGCCCAAAATAGAAAGTTCTTGTACTGCAGAGCTGGGAAAGAGGTTTAAATTTATCAATTCAAATAACAAAGGGTAGCATTATTCTGGCTCTTCTCGGGTGGGGGTTTGGGGAGAGAGAATGCCTGCTTCATCAGGAGTGATCTGACACTGGCAGGGGCTGGGACCAGGAGACAAGCTTCCACTGTGGTGAGCTGGGCTTGTTTCCCATCCTGGCGCCCCTCACTCCCTCCTTCCAACTGTGTCACCTCTTTTAGGACATGGGAAAGCGACTGAGCCACTGGGGAAATTTCACCGAAGTTATCAGACTGGGAACAATTCTCTGAGCCAAGTCCCTTCTCTCTCAGCTTTTAGAGGACTCCGTATCTTCCCACAAAGTTAAACAGCAGGGAGCTATTATGTTTTCCTATCAAATGGTCAGACGTTTTCAATGATTCTTAGGGTTGGGAAGGCTTGGGGAAGTTGGCATTCTCATGCGTTGCTGAAGGGGTGTAAACTGATGCAGCTGTGTGGAGAACAGCCAGGCATCACGGACCCACGGTAGGACAGATGTGGGTTCAGAGGATCTTCCCTCTACAGCTGGTGGGGCTGTAAACTGCTTCCCCAGACAAACTCTTGTACAACCGGGGACATTTACAGCAATGTCCATAGTAGCAGTGTGAACAAACGCTAATGCCTAGAAACAATGTACTTGCCTGTCAGGGGAGCGTGGATGATAAACCATGGTATACGTATTTATGCATTAGGGTATTTTACATCAGTCAGAATGAATGACAGTGAAATGCGATGATATGGATGCATTTTAGCAAAGTAATATTAAGTGAAAAAAGTCCTGAAATATTACATATAGCATGGTATCCTTTTTATAAAGCTAAGAACAATTTTTTAAAATTGCTCTTTAAGGATATATACAGGTTGAGTAAAAATTTATATAAAAAGAAAAGCAAGGAAATGGACACACGATTCAGGATTGTTCCCTGAGTGGGGAGCATGGTGAGATGAGGTGGAAGGCTTTATGATTAAATTTCGGTTATTGTTGAGGTCCTAGCTTTTGTTTTGGGTTGTGGATTTACAGATACTGAGTACATTATCAAAATTAATGAATTTACCACCTAAATTAATAAAATCAGGTCTTCAAATACCAATTATGAGAGTGTGTCACGAGCTAAGCATTATGGTTAATCCAAATCTGTGTACCTGACATTTAAAAAATAAAACAAAACAAAAGGCCTTTGGCACAGTCATTCCACTTCTAAGCATGTAACTTAAGGAATAAACAGAGATGCACACACAAGTCTGTGAACAAGGACATTTATCACGGTATTTATTAATATAAAAAGAGGAAACAATCTAAGTACCAAGCTAAGGGATTAGTTACATAAATTGGGTTACATCAATATGCTTGAAAATGCAGTAGTCTTCTAAAACTACTATTTTCTAAAAGTTTTTATGTGGGAAAATACTCATGATATGTCAGTTGAATAAAACAGGTTGCAGAACAGACATAACACAATATGAACCTAGTCTTTAATTGCCCATGAGTCTTGAGCGCGCGCGCGCATACACACACACACACACACACACACACACACACACACACACACACACACTGGGAAGATTATACTCAAAATGATTATAGTACTCATCCCTGAATGTTGTCAGTGGCTTAAACTTGTCAGTGGCTCACAACTATTCTACAATGATCATTCATTCTTTTACAATCAGAAATAATTTTATTATAAAAATAGATGTTAATAATTAATACATGGAGTACTTGTTATGTGCTAAGAGCTTTACATAGGTTAATTTATTTAAAGCTTACATAGCTCTGTGTGGTTGGTACTATTGTAGTCCCCACCTTATAGATGAAGGTACTGAAGTTTAGGGGGTAAAATCACTTGCATGAGGACACAGAGCTCATAAGAAGTGGTGCCTTGAATCCGGCTTCTAGGGGGCTCTTCAAAAGTTGGGCCCAATAGTAGGGTCTTGGTCTCTCTCCCTGATGCGGGATGGTTCCACCAGAGAGAATTATGTCCTTGAGAATAGTACTGGGAACCAAATAACCTGACATGGAACCTGCAATCCACAGAGAAAGAGGCCCCTGAGCAGTGTCTAAGCCAGGGCGCCCAGCCCCTGGGGGTTTCTGAGGAGTCCTTGTGGGAAAGGAGATCCCAGTGATGGGAGAATTGATTGGAGAACAGAGGTGTTTTACCCACGGCTCTGGCCAGCTCTGACTCCCACCAACCACGGTAGCATTGGCGTCTAGAGCCCTCCGTGGAGAGGAGGAGGGTGCTCTGGGTGCATCTAGGGTTGGGACAGAGCCAGGAACTTAGCTGCGGTCTCTTCTCATCACTCATGCTTTAAATATAAGCTCTGATGGGATCAAGGCGCCAGAGATAAAATGCCTTTCTCAAGCTAAGCAGGCAGGATCTGGTATCCAATTTGGACAAGACAGTGGAAAATAGACTCAGGGGGAAAAAATCCTCTGGCCTCAACACCGGCACACGGGAGCTGAAGCATTTGACACCTTAACATTGTAGAGTAAACAAATACAGGCACGGTTTCCTATGTCTTCTTCAAAACATCCAGAATAGATATCATTTAAGAAGGAATGATTTTAACAGTTAGTTCTTCTCTTCTCAGCTGAAGAATTCTGGATTATCTTTCAAGATGTAGCCCAAGCATCAGCTTCTGTGGAAATACTTCCCCAGCTGCCCCGAGCAACAAGGCATTTCCTCTTCTGTGCATGTTTAATAAATGATTTGTTTACCTGTCAGATTGTCTGCGTTCCCCTGCTGGAGCATAAGTTCAGTGGACTGTGTTTACGTACCTTTGGGTTTTCCCTGCTTTCTCATCACCTCTCCCTCCTCGTGCATCCCTATGCCTGCCATGTGGTCAGTGCTAATTAAATGTGGCTGTTGGAACAAAAAGTAGTAGAAGTTAGGGGTGTGATGTTCTAGAATTCCCGAGCTGGGAATTCAACCCCTTTTTGCATCTTTGATACTGGAGAGAATCTGATGAAAGCTAAGAGCCTTTCCCCAGAAAAAAAAGCACATGCATAAAAATAATTCCCTATTGTATAGCAGTAAACCCACATGCACACCAGCACGTACCCAAATGAGTGAATCTAAAACGGGAAATCTGAATAAGAAAGGTGGATTATATCACTATCAATATCCCAGTTTTGATACTGTGCTGCAGTATTGCAAGATATTACCATTGGGAAACTGACATCTCTCTGTATTATTTCTTACACTGCATGTGAATCTAAAATTATCTCAATGAAAATGTCAATTTAAAAAATTCCTATACATTATCCTTTGGGACTTGATGGATCTCCCCTGAATCTATCCAGGAATCTAATTTGAGAATTCCCAGATATAGTCCATTCTTTACATTGTTGGATTGGGGAGACTGATGGGAAAGGATGTGCTCAAAGTCATACAGATTGCTGGTGGCAGAAGGAGCCCAACTGTCTTTTCCTTACACTACACCTGGTTCCTGGGAGGAAAGAGAGAGTGCTATTCACATTGTGGTGTTTACTTGACTTAAAGGCAAGACAAACCAATCAGGGTAACTGATATTCTGTAGTGTGGGGAGAGAGTAGGGCAATTCGTTTTCAGAATTGTTTGGTTTTTGTTTCTTCTCTCTGCTTTCTAGGCTGCCTGTGCTCAGCCTATGAATTGGAACGGATCTCAGTCCCAAAAATGGGGCTGGGGAAGGTGTAGCTCAGGGACCAGCAGCATCCTTTTTTTTAGGGGGGGGGTTGGAGGAGGGGAACAGCGTTGGGGAATCGGGGAAGGGGAACAGACAAGTTGCTGTCCTTTTGTTCTTCAGTCTAGTTGTGGAGGACGTCGCTTCACTGGCCCATATTGGTATTATCATTGCGCTCTTCACGGCTGAGGCAGACGCTTGCTGGCCATTGGACGGCGGCTCATGGTGGCTCTTGGCAGCTCATGCCAGCCGCCAGCCACTCACGGTAGCTTCACGGCAGCCCACTGCAGCCTCACTGCAGCCTGCACTGTCACCGGTGACTCACAGCAGCCCAGCTCCAGGTCGAGCTGTTGTTCACCATCTTAGCTGTAGAGGGTACAGTGTCACTGGCCCTCATATGGGATCCGAACCCAGTCCCTGCTGCTCAGAGCTGGCATTCCAAGCCAACTCCTAACTAGTGCGCCACTCGGCTGGCCCCAGCAGCAACCTTTTTTATTCTGATGCCAAAAGAGGAGCCAAACTGTGCCTATTGGTTATCCCAGCAGGCTGGACAAATGGAGGAGTAGGAGAGAAAGAAAGACAAGGAAAAGAAAGAGGGTACATCAGGAGAAAAGAGATGGTACAAGGAGAAGACAGTGGAGGAGGGGGTGGGATGGAGGAGGATTGATGGGATGGGCTGGACCACAGGCCACTCACTAAGCTGTAACTTTTAAGGATGCTAGTTATTGCTCTATCCTTGGAAATGCTAGGCATTGAAAGTGTCAGATGGTCCAATGTTCAGGATCGTCCTTTCATGAAAATCACTTGTGTTCTGGTGCTAAAGGGTGACCAGTAGTTAAAGAATTTGAACCACAGCAACTCTACTTACTAGTTATTTTTACCTTGTGCCAGTTACTTAATACCTTTATGCCTCAGTTTCGTCATCTGTAAAATGAGGATAATAATAGTACCTGCCTCATAAATCGAGGGGAATGAATGATATAATACGTGTAAAGCACTTAGAAGAGTACCTGACACACAGTAAGTGCTTAATAATAAATGCTGGCCTTTTAATAGTTACAACCTGACTGAGGCTCATTTCCTCTTTCTTATTCCTCCAAGATGGAGACAACTGATTAGCATCCTTCCTCTAAGGAACCAATTATCAACCTGTAAGCACTAAATTACCCATCAGTTTTCTCTTTTCTGCATACACTGTCGATTCCTTCTTTTGTTTGTGGACTGAACTCCCTTACCATTCACCACAATCAGAATTTAAAGATGAGCTCACACGTAAGTACCTGGTAATCACGGGGATCTCCCTGCCTGGTGCTCCCAGTAACAGCTTTTAGGAAACAAACACTCCTGAGAGGGGAGAGTTTGGTTTTTTCCCTTCAGACAGGAGAGCAGTATGGCCCTATCTTTCTATCTTTGCAAATGAATTTCAAAGCACTGCTTAGATGCCTCTGTACTTGTAAATTCACCTGCTTTGCGGAATCTGATTTCTAAATCTTGCCTGGAGTCAAGCTAGAGCACTGGTGAACTGGATAATTCGGAAAACAAAAAACAAAATGGAAACAGATTTTCCCTCTGGCTTCCTGTAGAAAGCCCCCTTCCTCCACAGTGTTTCTGGGGGCCTTTTGGGAACGCCTCCCAGGGGCTCATCAGCAAATCCTCCACTCACACCTCTCTGCTCTGACAGGTATCATGTCTGTGTGCTGTTCCACCAGACCCTGGGGGTTTCCTGCTGGTTTTCTAGGCACTCCCAATCCAGAGAGACCTGGAGTCATCAAAGAAAACTCTTCAAAAGATGTGGGGCTTGAATTGATCTTGAGTGACAAGCAGGGTTCATATAGACAGAAGGAACTCCCTGGAGAGCAGGGACATGCTGAGCAAAGAAATGAAAAGTTAGAATGGGATGGATGAGTATAGCATTGGTCTGGGAAAGTAAGGGGGCGGGGGCAGCTGAGCTGAGTGGAAGAGCTTTTAGTGAGAGGGAAGGCAGAAGAATAGGCTCTATTGAAATGCTTTGTGAGGAGGCCATGTGAGAAGGCCACCGGAGGGGTGAGACTTTTTTTCACAAGAAAGTGGGGCCCTTGCATAATATTCCAGGGTATAGTGGAACGCTGAGCAGAACTGCTGGCTGTGTGTTCTTTGGGCCTGTGATTTCCCTAAGAGGCACCTTGTCATGTTTACTCAGACATTCTGAAGATTTTCTTTTCATGATTATAAAAGCAATATGTTTTCATTACAGACGAATCAAGTAACTAAAAAGAAAATAAAAAAAAACAATCCCACTCACCAGAAGCAACTGATGTTAATACCTCACCGTGTATCTTTCTAAAGTCTCTCATAAACATGTATTTATAATATATTTAATAAAATTAGGATTATAGCACACATGCTGTTTTACAAGGGACTTTTTTTTCACTTCATAATATACTGTGAATAATATTCTTTGTTAATAAATATACTTCTATGATAAGATTTTGAATAGGTGCAAAGTTGGTGACAGTATTTTTAAGGTTTACCCAGCCTTCTGGAATGATGAACTTTGCCTTTCATTCCAGAGACTTTTTTTTTCCTGTAGCAGAGAAAAATATTTCCTCTGTAACTGAGAATGGTATCTGGACGTCAGAGACATTACCAGGGGACATGGTCATTTCTCTTTTTCTTTTCTTTAGTTAAACTGCAGTAGCTGGGGGAAAGGGCTGTATTGTATCTATGGCAAAGTTCCTGGCCACAAAATTTTGACCACGTTTATAAGATTTGAATTCCAGGTGAAAGGGCAATAAAGTTTAATTTTTCTGAAAACTCCCAAGGAGAGGAACGGGGATAGATACCAATGAGTTGCAAGCACTACTGCGTATCCTGAGTGCAGAAATCTTCTAGTTGGTCTAGTTGGCCAGATCATGGCAGGTTTCTCATGGGCAGAGCCACTAAAATGTTGACTGCTCAGGTCTTTATTTTGGGGCTTCTGAGCATAGAAGGCCTTGGTGCAAAGAGCATGTTATCAGATATGGCACCCTTTTCAGATACATAGATTCTGAGCTGACAGGAGCATAAAACTGACCAGCTGTATTAATTCTTGCATTTACTCCTAAGTGACTTTCTCTCTACACAACAAGCCTTCTGAATGTTTGCTTGATAGCAGGGGAAGAGAGGGGCGTGTGTTTTTTTATCCATCTTACTTCTCTTTGCTTGAATTTCCTTTCTCATTTCCACTTCATCCAATGGCTTTGTGTCTGTATGATGTTTTGATACCATTATTTTCTGTTTCCAAAAACCACTATGTATTTCATGGCAGGCATCAAGGGGCTCCAACTGGCATTAGAGGATATTTAGAATCAGAGACCACTTAGAAATAATAATAATAATATCTAATACTTACTGGACATTTATTATATACTGTAATACTGTATGGTGTTTTACATTTATAATTTCATTTAATTCTCAGAAGAATCCTATTATTTGATGATTACAATTATCCCCACTTGATAGATGAAAAAACTGAGACTCAGAAAAGTTAGGGAACTTGCCAAACTTCATATACCTAGGCAGTTGCAGAACCAGAATTCAAACCAGGTTGATCTGATTCCAGAGCTGCTTCTTACCCACACAGCTCTCTACCTTCTGTCTCAGCAAGTTTAGAATTCAGGGAACTGGAAGGAATAACAACAAAATAAACTTAACATAAGGCCAAGAGAATGGCCGATAAGATACAGCTCATTCCTTCTACATGTTTAATGTTAATTTTTTATACGTTGGCTAAGTGCCTATTATAAAGCAATTTGCTCAAGGTTATCTTCTTCCTACCCCACCCCCATCAGATGGTTTTTATTTATAGCTATGTTTAAACATCATAGGCACAGTCAGACTCGCTGTATACTGAACTTGCCATCTGAGCAAAGGTTCTTTCTTGAAGCATATTTGCTATATTCATTCTCTGGTTTTTGCCAAGAAATTAAAAGGAAAAATTTTTTTTTTTGGTTTGCTTTTAACTTTTTGTTCCAAGTATTCCTCAGCTCTAGAATTGAGACTGTCAAGTCCAATTAGTCAAGACCAGATTAATCACCCTGAATT